GGAGGCCTATACCTTCTCCGGTTTGGGTTCGACTACACTTTGCCCTGAAATAGTTGCACAGCTGTTGCCATTTTCCTTTGAGAACATCTCGAACCTATATTTGAGACAGAAAAGTTTTCCTACTTTGAATTTAACATATTTAGGAGTGATAATATCCAAAAGCCATGGAAGGCCATGCTAGATGGCTTTGTATCTCTAAGTTTTAATGTGACAGAACGTATTCGTTTTCGTTTTGTTCAAGCTAAGCCTGTGGATTTTAAATTTATCTGTATTGGAGGATATTCAACTTAAATTGCTATTACTTTAAATCTACAAAATATCTTTTAAAAAACGCTTACTCAGGGATGTTGATCTAGTAACTAGTGGGGTGATTGGTAAAATCCTACCTTCTACCAAAACACTATATGTAATGTAATATCCTACTTAAAATCAAAACAATAAAGGTAATGTGAAATCCATGATACATGCAATGAATTCTTGAATGCATATTTTGTTTAGAACCTTATAAGGTTTTAAAGGGTAAATTCTTAGTTCTTCCTTTTCTCTCCTTGTTGGTTTCGTCAGTTGTTCAAGAGTTGACTATTGCAGGCTACCATCTTTTCATTTATATTTCGGTGATGTGTTTCAGTGGTACATAACGTGTGCTAAGTGAGATGAAGTAGCAGATCTTTCATGATTATGATAATGTTACAAGAAGTTACAAATTTTAAAGAGATAATTACCTGTGTGGTGGACAAGGTGTATAGGATTGGATTGATGGCGGAGTTTAAAGGAAGAACAAACACGGCGATCCATACGGCAAGATCTCCTCTTGTACTGAACGACTTCTCCGCGATGGACCTGAGTCCAATCACGATAACGGGCATCCAGCAGATGCAGTCAGTCAGGATGATGAAAAACACCCGTTTAGCAAGAGCTGTCTCTCGCTGGGTATTGGCTGACATTGCCTGAACCTGACATCTGTTTACAAGTATTACAAGATAAGCTACAATAACAAAGGTCAAAAAAGCTAAATTCAAGCCAACAAAGACAGCCAGAGAATACTCCCAACCAGGTGCCTTATCATGAGAGAGCTGAAGTGGGAGACATACAACAGATCTTCCGTAAAAGTATTGACCTTTAGGGGTTTCAAAATACTGGATGCCAAAAGTGGGAAGAAAAGCAATTATGAAACCGATAGTCCAGATAGTAAAGCACAACGCATGAGTGGTTTTGTTGGTTAGTCCACCAACATAGAAAGGGAACACAATATTTTTGAGTCTGTCAGCAGAGATCAGAGAAAGAAGCATTATTGACACCTCGCTTGACAACACAGCGATTGCACCAGTTATCTGGCATGACAAACTTGATCGCCACTTATAGTCATGCAAGTAATATTGCCCTGCCCAAATGGCATCCTTCCAACCTATGATGATTAGGTAAACACCCATTAACCCATCAGATACCGCCAAGTGCATCAACATGATTGGCTGTTCAATATTTCTCTGACTGTAGAGCATTCGCCATGTGATGACAAACACAGCTCCAATCAGAGACATGATACCAATAACCCAAATACACTTTCTTGGGGCTGGATCTCTGAACATAGTCTCCCAACTGGCAAAGCTGTCGACGTAGGTAAAATCGCAGTCTGCGTCATCTTTCTTGAAGTGACAACACATTAGGTTGGTGTCTAAAGTCCTGAGGTTCATAGAAAGAGATCAAATCAATGAAAGGCACAGGAGAATTCGTGCTGATGAAATTACAGGTATTCTAATAAGTCACCTCAACTAGGCAAAGAGAGTATACTTTTATTGACTTACGCTGTTGTTAACTACTTCATGTTAGAGAAAAAACCTTCCGGTAGTTCCCGCATCTTGTTGTAATGAAAGTACCTGCGAGTTAGAAGAAAGAAATTCACCTGAACTAGCAATGCTTCTTCGTGTGATACTGACAATGATCTCTTCAACCTGCTGTATCAGTTACTGGGAGATCGCCTCCTACTTCCCCTGCTCTTTTTTCCAATAATTATCAGGTACCAAAAGGTTATAAACCTTAACAGAAGGAGACTGAGTAGTGAGAACTCAGTGATTGGAAAAAGTGAGTTACAAACGCCTCTGTTATTACTGAGTAATCCCATTTTTTCCAGATTCGTGACAAGTTAATCGTCAACTAATCACGCAGGCATGGGCGTATTTACTTTACCAACATACTTTCAATTCGCAATCAATCTAAGTTTTTCCTGGAATTAGTTATGGATTTCTGTGAGTTCGTATACGCCTTGAACAAACTCAGTTGGTTCATACTCACAAGAACCGAATTGTCGGCGCGACATCTTTGAATTGTTCATTAGTTACTTCAGTGATTTTGTTCAGATGAAAGCTCCTAAAGAAGGAGAAACCAATAAAAAGTGTACATGTCATGCGCAGATTATAATATCCTTCGGAAACTGTTTACTTCAATTTAACTTGGCCCGTTTTGTTTTAAAGTTAACCTCCATAACATGAATGTTTTGTGTAGTATATGATGGTACGAAAAAAATTCCTCAGAACTGATACTACGCAATTCAAGTGGTAAAGAGGTCCTTCACATGGCTAAAGACTCCATTAAGCAACATCAGTTAACTGTGATTGGTTTGGCTGAACTCATGCTTACTCCAAGGACCGAAAGGCTTTTTCCTAAGTTATTATAGACTTGATCTTGTGAGGTACGTGACGGCATACCCTCTGTTAGTATCTTGAAGGAACCAGGCTTCCTACTAATTAAGTTTTTGAACTTTTATAATTTTTTCCTGTATTTCATATGATCTCCCATTCACCTTGGTGTCCACGCACTGAATGAGATGGGTCTTACATGTGCATTAAGTTTATTTTACCTCAAACCTATTGTTGCTAAGATTACCCCGTTGGATATACATCATTTCACTGTTGCACAATGATAACTAACGAGTCGGATGGAGAACCTAGGCTACGGTGATCATTCTTTTCTTGTCTAAGTGTGTCTGCAGCCATTTCGGATGTCAGAAAATTCTGGTCGTTATTATCTCTGTGGTTTTTGTAAGCTTATATATGTAGATGCAGAGTAAGCAGAGTCTATTATTGGGTGTGGTGGTATATAATAGCATTTGATTGCATCAATCAATACATTCATAATATCTGAGGTTTGCAAACGCAGCAAAGTGAAGACATAAACGGCAACTTCCAAAGGGCTTATAACTATATGATTTCCTTTGCGATAGCACTAATTCAGGTTTCGATTAGTGTCCTTCAGTCTATTATGAAAAGCAATTCGTACTTTTTCCGCTAAAAATTTCTTATGAGAGTCTCACTGCTTTTGGAAGTAATTTTGTTCATCAATTAAGTTTAACATGATACTTACATAGACATAATCTGTTTCGTGTCCTTAAAAACTCCACGCGGCAGATATTCGATATTGTTGTCATGAACAGCCCTTGAAAGATAAAGAAAGACGGATTTTATCACCTGAAGAACACACGCACAAAAATCTAAGCATATATCGATTTTAATTGCAAATACCATTCATGTTACTCTTGGCATTCTTACAAGGTATTGAAAGGTAAACCAGAACTATCCAGGGATACGCCAGCTCGATTGAGTAGGCAAAAATCCAAGAAAAAAAAATGACGTGGTCAACAACTATCCAAGCGTTTCCGCGGCACATAAAACACAAGGGTTGTACCATCCAACGGTACTTTTCCCTTTAAGTATGCGTGCGGTTAATTTTAATTGAGAATTTCTCTCCTTAAAAGTTAAAATTTGTAGATGTGTATCGAGAGTATCGAGGAAAGATTATCTGTGAAGCTTTAAGAGTCATTACTTGGAACGTCAGCTTTGGTTTTCTTAAAGCATCTTTTTCAGATGTCCTGCAAACTTAAACTTATCAATAAAGGATAAGTTGATGTTTTCACTTACAGGTCTTTTAGTTTGGACAGGCCTTGGAACTGATCAGGTGACACGGCCGTAAGGCTGTTGTTCTCTATGTTTCTACACAGTAAATGAAATACAGTGTATGATTTTTCAAACCATAATGCTGCATAGAATTTACCCCTAACTGGTGACGATTTTTATATTCTTTTATTCTCATAATAACCAGTCCTCTTCGTCTCGATCGCATCCTAAGAATTCAGAAGGATCTTTAACTTAAAACGAAACGAAGAGGGCCACTTTACAAAAGATTGACGTGCTTCCTCCATTTTGGAATACTTTCTATTGCCTGGAATCATTGATGAGAGTTTAAGATGAAGGGAATTGTTTCATTTATTTGGCATAAAGAATTTATTCCTTAAATGGCTGACTGTTGTTCCATATTATCCAAATGTGCTTCGTAGTGTACAAATGACGCGTTAGACGAGTACAAATATCACACGATATTCGTACTCCACAAATACCCGCGAAATTCGCCCGCACTGAAATAACAATTTGGCGTGTTGGTTAATAAATCTCTTATTAGACGTTTTGTTGTGTGATATCGCTGAGTATTTTTAACTCGTCATTTGTATTTTGACGAGCCCGTAGGGCTCGTCAAAATACGGCACAACTCCTAAAAATACTCAGCGATATTACACAACAAAACGTCTGAAAAGATATATTTACTTGATTCCAAAAAAAAGACTCTCATAACTTCCTAATGTCAGAGGTAATCTGCGAGTAAAATGATAAACAGTTTCGAAAGCTTCCTGTATATAATGAAGAGTGTACGATACACTCATTGCTTCAGCCTCCGTTACAAACATGAACTACGTACAGTCTTTTTATCTCGGAGAGATTGTTGAACCTCGGCAAACGCTGAATTCTGTTACTAGACAGAAAGCTTCCGGGAAGAATAAAAGAGAAAAAAAATAAGAAAATCTAAGTTATCTTCTTGGGTTCTTGAATGACTATTCTAGTTTATGGATAATGACCAAATTAGTCAAAGAAACACGATCCGTTTAGTTCAGTTCTCACAAAGTAAAATTTATACGACTACATGTATCAGCACTGTTTATACTTGATTCTTGACAATTTAGACTATAGGTGTCCTTTGCACGCTCGCTGTAAATGGGTGTCTTCAGAAGATTTCACTTCTCAGTATCAGTGTAACGAAACTATGTCAAGTCAGCCTTATGACAAACGAAGTTTGTTTGTTTTGAACTCTTATAAATGCAATAACTCTTTATCTTATTAGAGTACCAATATAACTACTAGTTAAGTGAAAGAAAATGTTGTGAGGGTCAGTCAAATTGTATTCGTACTTTTACATATCATCATTACTTCGTCTCGGTCCGCAAAAACGCAAAATAAAAGAACTCGGCCAATATCCAGCCGTCTTGACCTCACCCTTTATGAATAACACATATTTACTGAGTAATCTGAGTCAGATGCCACTTACAGCCTTTTTAACCGAGTTAGGTTACCAAAAACATCCTGGGGCAAGTGCTTCATCCCGTTGTTTGACAAATCCCTTCAGATAGTAATTGGAATAAAGACTGAGCTAATTGTTGAAGAAATCTCAGTAAGTCCTCTTCCTCACCCTACCAGGTGGTGCTGAGTTAGGGTTAGAAATTTTGTAATCCCCTTTTTACTTGTATGTACTTAGCTTATGAAACAGCGCCAAGAAAACCCTGAATAGAGGTAAGGAATCAGTAACACGGAGAAATAGTACGAGATGGCTAAATTGATTCCATTCAGTGAAAAGAAATTCCTCTCTTTGCGAGGAAATAATCAGAGTTTCTTTTAATTTTATATATGAAAAAACGCCGTCTGAAGAGCATTCTGAGAGTATCTCAGGTGGAGGCAAGAATGGCTGATATGATTGAAAGCCAAGGTAAAAGTGGACTATAATTAAAAAGAGATGTAACTGGATATCAATAAAAATGACGCTACTCACAGTTCTTTCAGCTTAGTGTTTGTGCTGAGAACACCACGAGACAAGTTGGACAACTTGTTATAAGATAGGTCCCTGACGACAAGATGTTGTGTAATTTTTGGGAAATGTGTTAATTGCAAGAAAAAGGAAAGAAACCAGAGAGGAGAACAAGCGGATTTGAAATGTATCAAATTTTATTTTCTGTAAATTTTAACACCTACTAATAATTTTTCTTTAAAATGTTTACCATTGCCTCGAAAGTTTTACCAATTTCTAAAATTTTCGAGGTAATCGCCAACATTTGTTCAAACAACCCTTATTAGCGAGGTTAAGAAGGCTCCTTTGCTGCATCATAATCATATGAATGGTCACGCACCACGACCAATTTTCGTTACCACTCCAAGGCTCAGTTTGTGCATTTACACAGCGCATTACAGAACAAAGTTTAATTTAGTACTTAAACCTGATTATGTTGAGAAAGATCAACGAAAAATAATATTAGTTACAGTTTCTTCAGCTTGGCCAATCCATAAAATATGTTGTGTGGTAGCTTCTCAAGCTGATTGCCGACCAAACGCCTAGGGTTTTAAATACAGAAACACTCAAAAACACACAAAATAACTGATATGAAATTGGCAAATTCAAGAAACACTGAAAATTAGGCTGCAAATTGACCATTTCAAGAGATTTTCTGAAAAGATGTGAACTTGAGAAACTGGGCCAGGGTAAAGTCAAATCGGTTGAGTTCCTTCACATCCCTTCTAATACTCCATTTGACGCTAGACTGATACTTAATGTTCGTGTCCCCGTCAGCAGGCAGAGAACCGTTATTTTCTCTCCAAATGGATCATTATTACAAAAGACGATTTTTACTCACAAGTATTTTAACTTAGTTTGCCCGACGAACAGATCCTCAGGTAATGTCTTTAAGTTGTTGTTTCCCAGCCAGCTGTAAAATTATTGGCATTTACAAGAATTCCACAATTTGTTTCAAATGAAGGGAATTACAAAGGGACATTTTAAAAGGTTATTTTAACTTTTCGGTGTTATCAATGACTAAATTGAACTTTCATTAATTGATTACAATCCAGAAGATCTTAATCCATGGAAATAAATAAAGACATTAAGGAACGATACTCAAACTATTTTTAAATAAAGTTTGATCTTTTTGGTTCGTAAGCTGTCTAAGCTCTGCGAGGTGCGGAAGGAGGAGGATTGGGACAAGCTACACCAAGGATTTCCTTCCTGCGTTTTCTTTTTACTCATTTTTTCACTGATTCTTTTCAGCACTTGGTAGAGCCGTTTGCTATATCTTTTCATTTGTATACGGTCTCAGTGCTTTAAAAAATCGAGAACATTTACAGTTATCAACGATGAAATTGGGAATAAAGTGAACATAAAGAGAACGTTCCCTAGATTTAGCGGATACCGTGTTAGTCCAAGTAGCGGGAGCCATTGCGGCGAGCATTAGAGAACTTTACTCACAGATCATATAACTTATGAGCCTTGAATAAGTCACTTGGCAGCGTCTCCAGTTTATTGAAGTCCAGGGTTCTGTGTTTTCCATTACATTCATTTTCATAAATATAAAGTCGTAGAGCTCTAAGTTTCAATGCCTTAATGTTTTTTTTTTCACTCACGACTACGAAGACCACAAATAATGCAGAAAACGATCTATGATGAAATTAAAATTCTGGTTGTTGTCTGCTGACATAGATATTACGGATTGTAAGTAGTTTGGAAGTATCTTCCTATTAGCCTGGCATAGCACTAGAAAGATTCTGGTTCAAAAGGTTTTAATAAAAAATAAAAAATAAATATGCAGCTCAGATCATTTTTTGTAACTATAATGCAAAAGTAATCATACATGTACCTTGAAATGTAATAGGTGAAAGTTTATAATATTCTATAAGTAGGTAAGGAACACCGCAAAAATATAGTATTTTTTTAGACTACCAAATAAATCTTGCAAGTTTGGGAATTGATCTGAATTCATTGTGCAGTTAATACTATGTGTAAACACTTTTTGAGGTCGTGGTTATTGTGTTTTCCCTTTACTGCTATTTTGCAAAAGGGTATCTATTTCCAATTGATTTTGGAACTTCCGAGTTGTTACATTTACGAATTTTGAAAAGTAAAATTGGATTCCAAACGCACCACACTTACAAGTTTACAAAAGTGCGATTCCACTGTTTGCAGTGAGTACGTTGTTTTAAGGGAATATTCCTTAAATATTTGGCTTTCAAGAATCTACGGTGTCATAAAAAAAAAGTTAGTATCAATTTCGCTCAATTTTGTTTCTTTTAATGTACTGTTGATTCGGAACTGGAAGAAGAAGGCAATCATTATAAGCAGAAACTTTGCTGATTGGATAAATGTAGCTCTGAAAATGGTAATTTTGTTTCCGTGCCTAATAAAAAGACCACAGCCTATAAATATAAACCCCCCTGGCATGGGAGATGGTGGATTATGCGGAAAACATGAAAAGTAAAAAAAAGTAAAGAAGTCGGTTTCTGGTGTCCTCAGAAAGTTTTAAGTGAACCTACGTTGAAAAACTTTTCATACTTGAAGATATTGAAAGTGAAGGTCTGGATTATTTCATAACTAGGTTAGGCACACTTTGTAAGATGCACCATTTTAATGATAACAAATAAGTGTTCCATGATTTGGAGCTGATATGTGTCTCTTGTGTAGTTTAATACCATGTACATAAGACTATCGGAGTTCCTTGTAACTGTATTTTTTTTTCATTGACATTGAAGAACGTGTCTCTGTAAGAATCAAACATCTTGGGAAATGAAAATTTTCAACCCCATTCAAATTTTTCACGCAGTTAGACACTCAGGGGGGATGCACAAAAATGCCCTTTTTAAAGGTTGCAGCACTCTTGTTGCCATGGTAACAACGACTCCTTGTTCGAGGCCTTGGGCCTCATTTTCATACAAAAACATCGTAAGAAAAGTGTAAAATGTTCATTTCTTCATTTCAAGCTAAATACAACATTACAGGTTGGTACTTCTAGCATACATAGTGACATCATTCGTCTTTACTTTGATACATTCAATTTTCCCTGGGAGTGAATGTGAACACAAAAATAGATTATTTATCTTGGTACGGTTTCGGT